ATACAACTCGGATCATCAGTTGGAGCTGCTCAACCAGGCCGCACAGATGATGACGGAAACACGGTTCTCGCTGCTCGTTGTCGATTCCGCCACCGCACTGTACCGTACAGATTTCGCTGGACGTGGAGAGCTCTCTGCCAGACAAACGCATTTGGCCAAGTTTATGCGTACGCTGCAACGGCTTGCGGACGAGTTTGGTATCGCCGTTGTAATCACGAATCAAGTCGTCGCGCAAGTGGACGGTGGACCAAGTGCCATGTTCAATCCCGACCCCAAGAAGCCTATCGGAGGTAACATCATTGCACACGCAAGTACGACTCGTCTCAGTCTGAGAAAGGGCAGGGGAGAGACGCGTGTGTGCAAGATCTACGACAGTCCATGCCTGCCCGAGAGCGATTGCTTGTTTGCCATTAACGAAGACGGTATTGGCGACCCCAAGGAGAAGGACCTGGAGGAGAGGAACAACAGGTGATGAGGGAGATGAGGTGCGAAGCGTCATGGAGCTGTGGCGATCTAGAGCTTTTGGTTTTACACGATTTACGTTTATGCAGCCGTATGATATCCTAATACATTACCTGAATGAATGCGCATTTTGTCCATCAGTACTGTCTGGCCTATCTTGGGATTGAATGGCCATACTAGGTGGGGAGTGAGATAAGTGGGCTGCGTTCAGGGTAGGCTGCGGTGATGGACAAAGCGTCCGTGCACCAGCCAGCTTCGCGCATCCATCGTCGCGCAACGATTGTTTTTGTGAGCTTCACCTCCGCGCGACCGCCGCAACTCGACCCCAAACGCGCGCCATAACCTCTCAGCCCCCGCAACGACAGCCGAACCCCCTTCGCATGCGAGCACCATGGTCCAACATGGAGGCACGTGTCTCTACAAAGAGGCGCGATTGAACGTTGAGCCCGCCTACCCTGGCTCGACCATCGCATTCTCGATCCCGTCGCATTCTCCCTTCAGCACACGGTCCAGCGTAAAGCGCAGTGTAATCACAGAATCCTATGCGGATAAGGACGAGGAAGACTTCACAAGGCGCCATCTAGCTACAGATGGGTCCATGTACTTTCGGCAGCACCATGCCTACCCGCGCAGCTTCCTCTGGCGGGTGCTGGACAACAGGAAGATGCTCGAGATCCAGGCGACCGACTTCGATCACGACTACACCGACAAGTTCGAAGCAAACTTGACGCTCCTCTTCCAATTCCCCGCTCCGATCCGACCCTTCTGCGTCGCTTTCGCTGAGCCCGCCGACCGCGATGCATTGACCGTCTTTGCAATCACCACGGGCAACGAGCTCTACACGATCACCCTGCATCGCGACTTCTTCGCCAACCCCGCAGCCTCGGAGCAGGACTCGGAGACGTGGTGCAAGAGGTTCGAGCCGGCGCTCTTCAGCGGGCGCATACCCTACCGATTGGCCGCCGCGAGCGCAGACGAACTGCTAGTCACACTCGACGACGGGGCCATCTGTCGCTTGATCTGGGACAAGGCCAACAACACCTGGGACGGATCGCGGTACCAGCAGAGCAATTGGTCGGTGCGCGGTCTCCTGTCGTGGAAAGCGCAGCCCACCGTTCGCTTCGAGAACGCGGACTTTGCTGTATCAGCCGCGGCTGCCGTCGCGATATCACCAGACAGCAAACACATCCTCTCAGTATGCCTGGACCACTCGATCAGAGCGTGGAACATTGCGTCAGGCAAGCCAGGCGCGCACATCGACCTCTTGGGTGCCGACGACTTCGCCATGGAGAAGTCTCATGGCTCATATTCCATTGGACCTTCGCAGTCAATGCTCATGGCTGTTGTGAACATCCCAGGCGGGGTAGGAGGCGCATTATACCACGTCGTTACATACTCGCCAAAGCAGCATCAGTTCAAGTTTTGGGGTGTGAGGGATGCAGACGACCAAGAACACGGATTCTACGACGCTGCGCAAGACTCAGAGCTCATTCCGCCGATCGACGAACTTATGAACACGACTGTATGGACGCTGGAGGAGTTTCACATCATTCCAGGGCCTAACACCTGGAGGGGCTCAGAGATCTGGATACGCGCCAGATCAGGTCCAAGCAGCAAAGTCTACTCCCTCAAATTCGATCTCACCGACTACGCCGAACAACGAACACAAACGTGGAAGAATGATTGGGTGTCTGTGGATTCGGGTCCTCTGACCGTCGAGGCACTGAAGGTCAATCCCGCGAACCCAAGCGAGCGGGAGTTGGAACCGGAACAGGATCTCTCTAATGAGTGGTACGAGTTTCTGTTCTACCCAGGCCGATTCTCGATCGCGACATTAGAAACCGCGTTGCGCATATACAGGAGAGGCTTGGAGGGGATAAGACACCAGTCAAATCGAGTTCTCAAAGGGTCACTGAAAGAACGTCTGGTTGCCACGCTTGTCGCCCTCGCCATTGAACGCGGTCATGGCGAAGACTTCAGCAAAGACCTAACAGCGGAGTGGCAGGCATACTACGGCTTGGTGAAAGACTTGCACAAGCGGAGGGGAGAATCGTTGTCACTCAGTTACGATCGGGCTACTGACAGGCCGTGGCTAGTGTTGAGCGACCACATCTCTGCGATCAGGAACTGCAGCGAGTCAGAAGTCACTACACTGAATGCAGCGGTCATCTCAGGCTCGCGTACCCTGAGCAAACCCCTACGGCAAACTCTGGATACATCGGAATCTCGCGACGTGGCACGTCTACTGAATGCCGCAGCTTCCTTCCGCCAACGACTACCATACTTCGTCCAGCAGAAGGTCCAACGTCACATGGAGATGGACCTACTCCAGAGCCGGAACATCACGATCTTAGATCGCATGGAATGGATCGAAGGCAACAGCGAGCTTTCTCAGCATGTGACCGATGAGGACGTAACCACCCTTGTTGAAGAGCTCGGTATGGAAGTCAAGGACCTGGGTACCGAGACTTTCCTCCGCGCCATCAGGAAACTGGACTACGAGCATGACGGCAGGCCTCAGTCGAGAAAGCAAATCGCACGATACGGGCTGAATGCGTTGTCATGCGTTTCCAAGGAGACTCTGGAGAACGACCACAATGCTTTGCTTGATCTGCTTGTCCTGTTGCTGTTTATGTTCATCGAGCTAGAGGGAGAGACACATGACGAGTGGGATGCGTCTGAGGTGTTTGCCGAGCTTCTACTGCGGTATAAGGACTGCATGGTCGTTTCTTGGCTGGCCCGTACAGTGTGGTCTCACCAGACTGGAACCGGCCTTGCATCTGACAATCTCAACCGCATGTTGAGCGAGACCTACAAGACTGGTATGAAGTTACCCATCACCCAGACGGTCCTCGAGGGAATCTACGGTAGTCGTGCCTTTGAGGTGCCACTACCAAAAGACCCGAAAGCGGGTCTACTTACCCATTGGAGTCGCGGCTGGCTGTCATTCATCTTCGAAGAACATGACTTTGAAAACGCTGTAGAGGATATGATGGGGATACTCTTGTATCAGCAAGAGTACGAACTTGCTAAGGATTTTTCCAAGTTCCTCACGGAAGGCCACTGGGCGTCGTATCTGAAGGGACGACTGTACCTTGCACTAGGCAACAAAGAGCTTGCTTCTGTGTGCTTCCAGAAGCCTGCATACTATCTGGGTAAGTCTTGGACATGCGATTTTGCCACGAAGATACTAATTTCTGTAGCTCTCGGTCCCATGTTCGACGTGGCGGAAGAAGACAAAGCAAACCTCATATCCGAAGTGGAGCGAAACTCGTTCTCCGAAGGCCTGGCCCACTATTACAGTCATGTCATTGGTCTGTTCGAGAAGGCCAAAGCGTACTCCTACGTTGCCGACTTTGCGAAGCTGGGGCTGCGGTCTCTGATGGGTCAGGAAGATGTGGAACTGAAGACGGATCTGCTTCAACGGCTGTTCACCGCTTCGATACAAACATCCAGATTCCAGGATGCATACGGTGCGCTGATCAGGCATCGGGACACGGCCTTGTAAGTCGAAGAACAGCTTCCACACAACTTCGTATACTGACTATTTTCCAGGAAACTCTCCGACCTGCAAACACTCATCACATCCATGGTAGCCCAATCGCAGACTACCGAGCTTCTCAAGTTCCCATTCGTCGGACTAACAGATTCGGTGGACACCATCCTCACGTCCCTCTGCCAGAAGACACTCAACATCGCATCTGGACCACCCTACCACCAGATCCTCTACTCCTTCCGCATCTCGCGCAACAACTTCCGTGGCGCCGCATCGATCCTCCACGAGCGCCTCCAGCGCCTCAAGACAACATCAACCAAGATCCACGACCCAGCCGACGAGTCCCTAACACAGTGCTACCTCATGATCATCAACACCCTCTCCTCAGTCAGCAAAGAAGACGCCTACATCCTAGCCGAGCAGCGCATAGAAGCAACCGGAGGTCCGCCGCAATGGGGCATCGGCCAGGGAAAGAAGCTACTTAGACGGCAGATCATCACCCTGGATATCCTGAGGAAGGAGTATCAGGCTGAATTGGACAGGATCGCGGCGATTGAGAGTGGCCAGTTTCCTTTTGTGGATCCGGTGGATGATATGGATATCTTGTAGGGCTTGGTTGTTATAGCGCGGCGTTCTTTGGCGGGTTTTGCGGGATTGAGAAATGGATGGGGGGGTTATGTAGATTTGCTATCTGGCTGGGTCTGAATTGGATCGTGGAGTGGCTAGACGTTATTATGAGAATCCAGATCTTGAGCGAATGATGGCTATGTTGATTGCAGTTGCAGTCGTGATTTGGCGGTGTTTGTACTGTGATTGATGAACGAAGTGATCAGGTGAGAGTGAGATGCAATGACGCGCTAAAACGCGTGCAGATGCGGGACGGCGCGAACCTCCAGGTAGGTGCGTTGCAGCCGCTGGAAAGACAGCAGCCATCAACCGCCCCTTCAGATCCTCACGCCTCTCACCATGGTGCAATAATCTTCTCGTCCTCATCCCAACTACCTCGCCACCTACAAAACAATCCTAAACAACCCCCGCAGCCATGGTAGCACCCGCTCTCTTACGCAGCTTGTCCCCCCAACTAACCCAAACACGCAGAACTCCAAATCCCTCCGCCGCCTCGCCGCAGACCACGGCTCCCTCCACACCGCCGGCCTTCCCCCAAACTATCTCTTCCCACCAGGCTCCGACGACTCGTCAGACCTAACGACGCTCGACGTCCTGCTCGCCGGTCCTGTCGGCACACCGTATGCAGGCGGCGTATGGCGCTTACACCTCGACATCCCACCCACGTACCCCACCGCACCGCCCACAGCGCAGTTCCGCACGCGGTTATGGCATCCGAATATTGATGAGGCGACGGGTAGTGTGTGTGTCGAGACGCTGAAGCGGGACTGGAGTAGTAGTCTCAAGTTGAGGGATGTCCTGGTAACGATATCTTGTTTGTTGATTCAGCCGAATCCGGCGAGTGCGCTGAACGAAGCAGCAGGCAAACTGGCGACGGAGGACTGGGAGGGGTATTGTAGGCGCGCGAGGCTTATGACGGATATCCATGCGAGTGTGCCGAGGGAGATTGAGGGGAGCGTTAGGGAGGCGCAGATGCGAGGCGAAGACAAAACCACAGAACCAGACCAACCCATCGCGAAACAACACTCGAAAGGGAAGGAGACAGAGCGGGTTAAAGTTACGCCGTCAGGACCTAAACTCACGCGCATGAAGAGTGAGGATGAGGAGAATAGGAGGGGGAGAGGTGTAACTCAAGATGCGGAGAGTGGGACTGAGGACGATGCCGTGACGGGGCAGAGGGGTGGGGTGAGGAGGAGTAAGGTGCCTGAGTCAAGGAGACAGGGTAATATCTTTGGGATTAAGGGCTTGGGCGATGGAATGCAACTCGATTCACCACCGCCGAAACGCATCTTCGCTGTGCCGGGTGCGCATACTCCGCCTGTTTCTACTCCGAACGAGAAAGAGAAAGGGGATGGGGAGGGAGAGGATAAGGATCCGTTTACGACTGTGACTTCGAAACGGAATCAACACCCTGATCCTTCTGCGATGGGTGGGACGGTAGCAGCAACACAACCCGACACCGAGACGCCCGATCTCCTCAAATTCTCAACTCAAACCCCTTTCGCTGCTATACAGCCCAACAACCAAACTCACCCTCTCTTCAGAGAGTTTTCGTTTAGTTGGGAAGATGCTATGGTCTTACACGAAGGTGGTGTGGCTGGTTCGGTTGGGAAGAGTGGTGAGAGTGGTGGTAGAAGTGTGGGTGGGATGAGTAAAGCGGATGTGCGCAAGAGACACGCGACAGAAGAGTTTGAGAAGAAGGAAAGGTGGGAGATGAAGAGGTTTAAGAGGGCGGGGGGTGATTTGAGGAGGTTTAATCGGGGGGATTGGGGGGTTAGGATGGGGGTTGGACGGCTTTGATGAACTGGCTATGTTGCGGAGGATGGTTGATGAAGGGGGGTGGGTGGAAGAGGGGTGTAATGGTGGTTTGCATAGCGATATGGCGTTTTGGTTCATGATGGATGATGGATGTTCACGGCGGTTGCGATTGTTGATAAAGATGGGATGGTAGTTCGGTATACCCTATGAAATACACTCCTACGGATCAGCGAGGTAACCTTCGCGCTTTCAGGTGCTGGAGTTCAGTGGTGGTGATTATCATCACCATCACTTTCGCACTCCGCAGCGCTCACGACTTTCCAGGCCTTTCCAACGCGCACGACAGACTATGAGGATCGCCAGCACCGAAGTCCAGACATGGTTCTCCTTATCTTCCTTTTTTCGACACATCATGAACCAGCTCTTTATTTTTAGTAGCTCCTGCTGTTTTGGTGTATAAGAGAATCAAGGAAGGAAGAACACCATGATGCTGTCGGTAGAGCTTTTATATCTCATCAGCTCTCTCTTTTCCTGATTCCATTGTTCATTCACCCAAATCTTCATCTCTTCGATATCGCACCACAGCACCCACACAGACAACCATTTACAGCCTGTAATCGTCTTTTTCGACCTCATGATTCCATCCGATTCTCTTTTTGGAAATCGCAACTCGCATGTCAAGCTCTGCGGGCTCTTTTGTGTTTCGAGGAAGGAGGAAGGGAGGCGGAGACCGGACACATCGCTGCGAGCTAATGCGTTTTCTGGGGAGGAGCCGCCGTCTCCAAATTCGAGCGGGTTCCTGTTTTTGGATAGAGAGGAGGAAAGTGGTGGATGAAGAAGAAGGAAGAGGGTGTGTCGAAAGGGGATTTTATAGTGAGCGAGGACGAGGGCACTCACACATGAGATAGATGCAGGGTTGTTTTGGTAGATTGCGGAGTTTTTGGTTATGTTTTGATAGCGTTGGTATGGCTCGCGGAGAAGGCCGGAACACATGGATTTGGTGACCCTCGTTTTTGGAAGAGAGGCGCGGTCTCCATGTATCTTCGAAATCATATTTTGGAGAAAGAGGAGGAAGGCGGAGGATGTAGGAATAGTAGTCCAGCAACCGCAGAAGGCTTTTATATGCTGAGGCGGAGGGAGCGGCGTCCACATAGTACATGTCCCCCATCATTTCTGGTAGAGACAAGCTCGTCGCGGTGGCTGGACGGGAAGGACAGAACATGGCGGGATCTTGGTGTATTTTGGAAAAGAGAGGCAGTCTTCATACATCAGTCCATCCACATTTTCGGAGAAAGAGGAAGGCACAGTGTTGAAGGAAGAGTACTCCGACCGCAGGCGAAGGTTTTATAGTCGTACCACGCGTCGTTCGTGCTCATTATCTCTTGCACAACTTTATTTTCGTGCGCTCATGCTGTTTCTGGACGAGAAATGCTGGTCATGGCCAGGTTGTGGAGCGTTTTTGAAGATCAGAAGAACACTCATAAAGGCTTTTGGATGAGGTTTTGAGAAGAGGAGGCGCAGTCTCCATTCGTTCCCGATGTGTAACTTTTGAAAGAAGAGGCGGAGTCCTGCTCTCATCACACGCCAGGGTAAAGATTTTGGAAGAAGAGGCACAAACACCATGATTCGAAAACAAGGTACTTTTGGAAAATAAGATAGAAGTGTGGATGTAGAGAAGAAGAGAGGAGCCGTCGCAGACGAAGCTTTTATAGATGGACGACGCACAGGCGGCGCGCGCACATTGCTTCGTCAAGCCTGGTTTTCTGATGTTTAGATAATCTGTTCGCGGGAGAAAGACACCGCCATTGGAAGGCTTGTAAAAAATTTGAGAACGAGAGGGATGAGAGGCGGACACATCGGTGCCTTGGTAGTAGATTTTGAGATGCAGATCCACTGCTCCATGCACGTCTCGTCTTTAGCTTTTGAGAAAGACGGATGAATATTGGATGAAGAAGAGAGCAAGGCGCAGGCACACAGCCCCATAAACGTATACCTGTTTCGTTTTTGGAAAGATGGGTAGAAATGTTGGATGAAGAAGGAAGAGAGATACAACAGCCAGAAGATGCGTTTTGTAGACGAGCCGAGAAGACGCTACTCACATGTTCTCTGTTTTTAGGTATTTCCGTATGCGCAGGTTGTTTTCCCGTCGCGCGACCGCGCTTTCATTCCTTAAGCCATTCATGCTTTTGACAGCGCAGAGAAGAGGCGAACACATGTCACCGTTCGTTGTACCGTTTTGAGACAGAAAGATGACTGCTGCCACCACAAGTCTGCACATAGCATTGGGAGTGAAAAGTTAAATGTTGGGTGTCAGGCAGGAGGCCTCTTTCATGATTGTCCAGTCTCTTAATCTTAAGACGGGCGCGCGCAAAGATGAAGACGGGCACGTTCCGCCGCGACCACCACACATGCTGCTACTGTCTACGAGTTTGAAGACCGGCGTAAGCTTTTGTGAGATATCTTCCGTCATGAACATATCTCTGGTCATTTTTACAGTGGAGCGCAAAGGAGAAGACATGAACGTGTAGTGTAGCGATTTTGAAAGAACAGGCAAACTTCTCCATGAACTAGGTATCCGTTATCTTTGGAAAGTAGAGGAATAAGCGAGAGGTTTTCGGAAAAGGAAGACATCGCAAAGAAGAGGTAGTCATACATCGAACGACTAAGATGACGACAAGTCGGAGCTGGCGGTGGTCATGAGCTTTGGGATGCAACCTTTGAGAACTGTGTCGACGAGAATGGGGCAACTTCCATAGGGATCATGTCTCCTCTTTTTGAAGAGGCATAAAGGAGAGCAGACTACGATGCCTGCAGCAAGTAGTTTCGTAGAGAACCAGTCCCCATCGAATGTTTTTAGAGATTTCTTTGGTGTCGCAAAGTGCGATGTTGGATATGAGAGAGAAAGGCAGCCAGCACTGAGAGAACCTTATATACAAGCCCTGGGGTCAGATGGTCTAGGAAGTTTGGATGCTAGTGCTCGTGTGAAGAGCGCAGAAGGCCAGCTACTTCTTCTCATGTTCATCTTGGGTACGTTTTTGAGAAGCGGGAAGACACGAAGACTCATCAGTTGTAGTCGCATAACTTTTAAGAGAGCACGCGAAGACGGAGGCTTCCCATATAGCGAGGTAATCCTGTTTTAGGTAATGTTTTTGAGAAAGTTTGTTGATGAGGGAAGTCGCAACGAAGAGCGGATTTTATAGCTGGTTCACAGGCTCACGTGCAATAGCGCATTGGGCGAGACGCAATCATGCCATGCGTTGTTTTTGGATTTTCATATGGGGTAGTTGATATGGCGCATGATCATATCGCTCCCATGCAATGGATCAGACTGGCTTTGAAAATGGACTGGAAGGAAAGAACACATCGGTCTCTTGACGAGTGATTTCGGTGGAACACTGGCCACAGGCCATAGATCTGTTTGTTGATATTTTGAAAACTCGAATCTAGAGGCTGGTTTTGATGTTGGCGAGAAGGTCAGGCCGAGGGTACACATTTTGTAGGAGTGATGCGGCTGGTCTGCGCCCACATTGGCGGTCCAACTCGCGTCATGCGGAAAGATTCCGAAGTCGCCCGTGCACTGATGCACGGACATTTTTGTATCACCCTTGACTTGTGCTAAGACTGGTGCACCTTTCTCTCTCATCGGAAGATATCGCGTCTCATCAACTCAGCACTTGTTCAATCGCATGCAAGATTACTTCGAACAGATACAGGTGCCAAGCGGAGATGTCTGACAAGTACCTTGAATTGTCTGATCGGCTCTCAGAACCGTCTGACGACAGTAGTCACGATAAGAATTAATCGTATCACAACGACGTTGAAGAACGCCGATACTGGGAATCGTGGCTACCTGAAGACTGCTATTCGCCGCTACAAAGGTTTTTCCTCCGTATGCAGAACGACACGTACTAAGAACTGACGTCCTGGTAGAGAAGAGCTAATCCGACTTGACTGGCACGAACGAGCGCAATGCCGCGAACCTGACAAGACTGTATTTGACAATTTCTTCTTCTATACTCTCAACCCCGTATTTACGCTCTCTCTTCGGGTAGCACACCCCATGATGGTCCCCCTAAGCGCTTCATCATTTGTATGCGCTCCATCATCTCCCTAGGATACATCTCCAGGGGCGGATAATTAGCTCCATGTTTGGGTTGCTTTCCTCCATATTCATCGTCGCTGTCTCCATCTTCGTCCTCGCTGTCTCCGTCTTCGTCCTCGCTTTCTCTTTCTTCATACGCATCGTCGTAGTAACCATCGTCTTCTGGAGGAGACATGAATTTCTGGAAGTCTTTATAGCCCCACCTGCGCCTAAATTGAGGTAGATTGTTGGCAAATTCTTCTTTGTAACTGAGCGGACCGTCTGCTAGCATGCTTTGTTCGATGAAGTTTCGGTAAGGTCGATAGTATCCCGATTGCAGTGTATGCTCTTCCTTCTCCTTTCGTCATGGTTAGCATGGTCTCACATGAGATATGTGCAGACTGACCTTTTGCCAATCCTCTTCGGTGAGGTAAAATAGTCCTTGCATCTTCCGATCATCCTCACTCGACATCGTCTGGCACATAATTGTGATAGAAGAGCCAGCGTATTTCAGATCGTAAAGAGGTTTTCTCATTGCCTCCAACACGTTAAGAACGCTACGCTCCACATTCAGGAACCCGATACGCTGCGAAATCTCCATCTCGTCCAGCCCAGAGTCTTTCCACTCCGTTCTTGCTTCCCCATACCATCGAGGTTCGTCGGGCGAGATCTGAACTCGAACGTCAAGCTTAGCTTTATGTTCCACGAGCGAAAGCGCAGACTCTAGGTCACTGTGTAAATTACCGAGATTCGATAGTTCTCTCCACAAGAGTTCCTCGGATCCAATTGGCATTCTCGGGCAGATATCAGTGACTACGATCCTGATGTATATCTGCCGGATAAACTTGTACGGCAGTACACCCAGGTTGAAACAGTCCTCTGCCAGTAGCGGCATCAACTGCGGTAAGCCCGGACGTTTTGAAGCCCAATCTGGCGAGATGGCTTGAGTACCCACCTCGAA